GTGCCCACCGGCCACCCTGACGCCGCCCGCCCACGCACCGGGGAGCGATTCGTTCTGTCGGCACAGCGTGCTCAACCAACATGAACTTTGGACCAACACACTGGTGTTACGCTCCTAGAAGGGCGTAGTAAGCGCCAGCACGCGGCAAGGAAGTTGTAACGTTACGCCTCAGTTTTCAAGTTTGATCCTTTTTCGTCCGGTGGCCGAGGGACGGACGCGAGATGACTTCATTCTACCAGTATTTTCCCGACGATTTTGCGATGCTTCTAACGACACCAAGACGAGAAAGACAACATAGGCGGGCATCGAGGCGGGCATCGAGGCGGGCATCGAGGCGGGCATCGAGGCGGGCATCGAGGCGGGCATCGAGGCTGGCTTTTCACTAAGCCACCGCGGCTCCGCGGCTACTATCGCCAGACGCTGTGCACGCCGTGCACCGACTAGCGCGCCAAGACCGCGACGTGCAGTGCGACATCAAACTAACGCACGCTTGGCGGGACAACAAGTTGTGCTTTTTGTTTGGCAGCCGAAAGCGACCCCTTTTTATTGCGACGACGGTGCGCGGTGCGCGGGCTGTCGATATCGTTCTGTAATGCCAGTTCGGCCTCGCCCGAAACGACGTGTGGCGTCCCAGGCGGCGTCCAACTTGTCATTTCAGAGTCGTCCAGAATGATGCCATGAGGAGCCGAGGGGAGGTTTCGGATTTGCTGGCTGGGCTCCCCGGGGCTCCGTGATAGAAAGCAAGTCTGGCTGCTTAATCGGACGGAAAATAATTCATTCACGGGGGCGAGGAGCCTCCCCTTGGGCTGTGACGCTTGGCCCGCTCGGGCCGCTCGTCCATTATAACGTGCCCGATGGCGCGGCTCGTAGAGCAAAACGATCATCGCGCTCATTAGCAGGAAAGCGGTTCAGATCGAGGCCGCCGACAGGGGGGCAGGCCGCACTGGCCAAGGAAGCCGATACACTGGGCGCGCACAGCAAGGGTGGCGCCCGCAGTGGCCCGCACGTGGCCGGCACGGCGCTCCCACGTGGCCCCGGCCCCTGAGATCCATGCTTCAGAAGAGAAGGCACCTTGGAAAACGAAAACTCGCAATGTTTATCTTGAATCTGGAATGGAGATCAGGCGGGCATGCCGCTGGGCTGCGGGCGTTCCCAGGCGGGGTTCGCGGCCGGGCGGCCGGGGGCTGCGCGGGGTCAGCCAGCCTAGCCAGCCCAGCAGGCTGATTACGAAATAGGCGGGGTCCACCCCGCCACCCCGCCCCCGCCACCACGGCGGCCTGTCTCGCCTGTCTTGACAACCTCCTCTGTCGCGCAGACGCTCTCGTCGTTGCTCCGCGGTCTCCACAAGGCTCTGCAGCAGACGAGACCCTTGCGCGAGGGCGGCGCGAGGGCGGCGACCCCGAGTCCGAGTCCCAGCCGTCACCGTCACGGCAGCTGCAGACTGCGGACTGCGGGCAGCGTCGGGGGAGGGCCCGAAGGGCAAAGCAACCCAGCACTCGCAGAACAGCGGCGCACCACACAATCGCTCCATTTAAAAGGGAGGGGGATGGGTACTAGATAAGTCTGTAGACTACCTAGATATTTCGGCACTAGGTAGGCCACCTGAAAGGTGGGCAATACGCACTACTTTACCCCTGAATTCGAAAAAAAACGCAGGTGTACCCTCGCCGGAGGAAAATCCTGGATCCGCGCCTCATCGTACGGCAAGGAAAGGCAGGGTGCTTCGTGGCGCGCCGCCCGCAGCAATTTGCGGCAAAGGAGACCCCGTCAAATGCACGGCTGGAACGGCCACGACCGCCTCAGCGCCCTCACGCCCCCGCGCCCCCACCCACCAGGCCACCGTGCAGGCGGCTGACATGACGCGCCGCACTCGCGGTGTGATGAGTCGGGGCGTCGTGTCACGTCCGTGTCACGTCCGCGTCACGTCCGTGTCACGTCCGCGTCACGTCCGCGCCATGTTCGCGCCACGTTCGCGCGTGGTTCAGGGAGTAGAGGCGTCTGTTCCCAGTTCTAGGGTCGGCGGTTCGACTCCCCCAATTTCTTGCGAAATTTTGACCGGGTCGGTCGAGTCCTGTTGCGTCAAGAACCCACCTCACGCCGCTCCACATATCATGGGCCGTGGTGGCCGAGAGCGTAAAGTCGTGTGATCCCGATGGCGGGGTCCGGGGATCGAATCCCATCATATCATTACATTTTTCGACTGCCTTCCTCCCACTGCAACTCAAACCCGTCGTCCAACACTCGGCCAGACGTACAGCGTGATAACGTAGTGGTCAGAGTCACATTCACCTGGCCACTCCGCTGTGGGTGTCTAAAAAGCAATCCGCTTCGGCGGGTTGGCCTCGGCACTGGAGCGATGGCGTATTTGATCCATCAATCCAGACCACCCGGTGTGTGGTTGCGGGTGGTGCCTCCTTGATTCGTCGGGGAGGCGATGATAAGTCCTTTGAAGCTGGCCTAGAACGCTGTACCGGATGTAAAATGTAACACGCAACGGGCGAGCGGGTTGCCTATGCTCGACTCGGCGGGCGCGCCGGAATGGAGCGGTGCTGTTAGGGGCGGTCATTGCGCCCCTGCGTCGCGGTTCATGCGTTTTTTCGCGGCATAGCGCCTTCGCGTCACCGCCACGTCTTGACTCAACGGTGCGCGAGGCCGCGAGGCCGCGAAACCGCGAAACCGCGGCGCCAGGACTTCAGGACATCGCGACTACGCGTCACCGCGGACGCTCAGGACTCCAGGACTTCGCGTTGTCGCGGGCCCATGATTCTGAAAGTCCTGGAGTCCTGAGCGTCCGCGGTGACGCGAAGTCGCGATGTCCTGAAGTCCTGGCGCCGCGGTTTCGCGGTTTCGCGGCCTCGCGGCCTCGCGCACCGTTGAGTCAAGACGTGGCGGTGACGCGAAGGCGCTATGCCGCGAAAAAACGCATGAACCGCGACGCAGGGGCGCAATGACCGCCCCTAACAGCACCGCTCCATTCCGGCGCGCCCGCCGAGTCGAGCATAGGCAACCCGCTCGCCCGTTGCGTGTTACATTTTACACCCGGTATGTTCGGTACGGGAGCGCCGGACAGTGGGGGTACCATGGGGTACACAACCAACCCTACGAAAACAAGAAGCTCCCACCAAACCTCTTCTCTGTCTGAGTCTCTCTCTGTCTCTCTATCTCTGTCACCCTACGATCGCCGGCTGCCCTCATAAGGCGGTCCTTCATGTGTAAGAAGGCAATAGCGGTCCGACAGAAGCTGAACTATGCGGTAGCAGTTTAAAGCCTGGATACACCAGTTCCCATCCGAACACCGAAGTTCAGCAGGCGGCTCGAACCTCCATTGCGGGGGGGAGGGGGTCGTAGGGTTCAAATTTTTTACGTTTTATTTTCAACCAAATTTCATATGACTCCGTCGTGGGTACCATGTGTTGTTTTGTCGAATGTTGAGGGGGCTGGGGGCTGAGGCGGTGGTGAGGTCGGACAAAAAGAGGTCGCAGAAAAATATAACAGCGGGAAGGAGGTCGGACGAATTTCGGCAGGTCGGACAAAAAGAGGTCGTACAAACGATGTAGACCCTAGATATTCACCGACCAACAGTGCAAAAACTTTCCGATACCGGGAATCGAACCCGAGCCTCCTGGGTGAGAGCCAGGTATCCTAGCCACTAGACCATATCGGATGGTTGTGTTTCTCTCGGGTCGCGGCTCTACAGTCGCCCGCCAGCCGCCCGCGCGCACGCTGTCCTCAAGGCGTAGTCGGAGGCGTGGTGGGGGCAGTGGGGAAAGCCCGCGAAGGCGCCAAGCTCAAAGATCACGCGGCGCCGCGCCGCACCGGGCGGATTGCGGAGCGGCCGCGGAGGCTTTGTTACCCTGGGTTTTGGCGAGGCCGAGTTCGGCCTAACGAGGAAGAGAGCTTCATCGTCATCTGTCAGTGTGGGAGCATCGCAGCGAGTCTGCGAGCCGCCCAAGGGTTGTGTTCGCGGCTTGGTTCGCGGCCATCGCGAGGCTCTTTCGCGAGGTGCGCGAGGTCGTGTGGGTGGAGGCCTTGGAGGCGAGGGGTGGGCCGAGGTGGGCGGCATGGTTCGAGCTGAATATATTGTAGCGCAACGAGCAAGTAGTTATCTAGCGCAGCGAGAGCCGCCCACTCTCTGGCGCGCGCACACACACACACAGCGCGCCGGCGGGGCTCAGGCCTGGATAAGGCGGGATGTAAAGCACACCTGGCGGCACCCACAGCGGCCCGCCCGCCCTTGCCGCTTCCCCGTTTTTACACTCGGCGCAAAAATAAAAGCCGCGCGCACATTCCCGCCCTGCCGGTTGAATGGTTCAGCCGGTTGCGCAGCAGCGCAGCAGTCGGCAGGCAATTGGCCGTGGCATCCCCGGCATCCGGCACCCCCGATGGGCACCCCCGCACCGCACGGCACAGCCGCGCCAACGCAACGCATCGCCGCGAATCAGGAAGCCAATATTGCATATAGACGACTCGAGCTAGGCGAAAGAAGAGGAAGAAAATACCTTCCCGAATATGGCGGCCCCTCATTGGTCCTAGCAGCCGACGGCGGCCGTCCGCCATGTTCGGGAAGGTATTTTCTTCCCCTTTTTTCGCCTAGCTCAAGTCGTCTATTGGCGTCCGGCACCTTCCCTTCCATCGGAATGATGGGTCCCCCTCTGCCACTTTTTGGCCTTACTCTGCGGCCCAACACGTGCTTTGTCGCCGGCCTCTTCCGGGCGGCATGAGACGAGGTGGGGGCATACTCCTGGAGGCCAGATCTGCAGAGCGGTTTTACACAGCGCGCAGCTCCCCGTGGCTCCCATTTCTCCTCCGAAATGGCTTCTCGTCACACTCACTGGTGGACCGCCGCGCCCCTGCGCCCCCTCCCACACATTGCGCCGCGCGTCCATCGCGTCACGCATTCCAGCCGCGCCTGGGCCGACCGGACTATTGCTTTCCTCGTGACGTGGGTGTGGCGGCGTGGCGTGGGTGTGACGCGTTGTGACGCGTGCGTCCTGTTGCAGATGCCCCCGGACGAGCAGCGGTCGCGCTCCTGGCGGCCCTCGTGCTGACCCTGACGCTGGTGGCGCCGTCCGACGCCAAGCCGGCCCTGGCCGTGCACATGGACGCCATAGACACGTGCCTCTTCACCTGCGACGCGTGCTACAAGGTGAGTCTCGACCCCCTGCCGGCCGATTTCGAAAGATCGGGACGCTCCAAGAGTGCCACCATGGTGCCACAGGGCGAGGGAATGGTAGGAAGTCGACCCTTACAGTCGCTTGGCTGCTGGAGGTCTGCAGCTCGTGGCGGGCGCCGAATGGGCTGCCTACCTCCCAGGCGTCCGCGTGCACCCCTCTACGAAAGTCACTCTGGTCATTTACGCACATCGTGCTCTCGTTTCACGATCGCTGTGTCCTTGTCTCTTTGTTTCAGGCCGAAGCTTTGCTGGCGTGCGCCAACACCTGCCTACAGGTGGACGGCCTCATCATGGGCACGGCCTGGCACCAGACCTGCCCCTACTTCCGGAAGAAACCTCTGTTCAAGGACTTCTTCTAATCTTGCCTGCCCGGGCATTATTCATTACTCTCTCCCGATCTTTCTGTACAGATCTGTAGATATAGTGACATGAACGAAGTATTTCATTCTGTACGAGTTTCACAAACCTACAGATGCAATTGGTTCAAATTGTGTATAAGTTTTAGGATTTTTTATTTTGTTTTTTATTTTTTTTGCCACATAAGAAGTGGACTTAGTTTGCTGTCTTATGACAGAGCGTGCCAAGAAGCAATCAATTAGTATAAGAAAAAATGTAGAATTCATTTATTTCTTTTTCTCTTATAAATGTCAGATGAAAGGTACATTTCTTGAGTCTATGATGTTAAATATTCTATTTTTAAGGAGAAAATCAGCGATCAAACTTGCATGCCAAATAGCGGACAGAAACAAATCCGTATTTCCAAGCTGACTGTGTAGACGGCAATCAAAACCCAAGCTTTGTCAGAAGCCTGGGTTCCATTCAACTGGTTTCTGCACTAAATTATGTTTAAAGCAAACTATAGTGTCACCTAGTTTTACAGGAATACTTGAATCTCCTAACATGAGACCGCATTCAGTCCCATGCTTCATGGAATTGACTTCAGTCTTTATATGGCGCAGTGAAGCAATTGAACCTAAGAGAGGAAAAAAGCAAGTCAACATTAAAACGAAATTGGCATACATAATACTCTTGAAACAAATTTCTATATTACACTTGCCTTCATAAAGTACTTCCTGCTCCCTAACTAGCTTCACTTTCTCAGATTTTACTATTTCACCCTTTGTAACTCTAAGACCAGCAACTACAATTTTTTTTCGCTTTTCATTGATATTGAATTGCTGGATGACATCTGCCTCTCCTTTAATGAAAAAAATAAAATAAATGGAACAGAACTTTTGTGAATAGTTTCATTTCACCACCTAATTAATTCCTTGGCTACACACCAAGAATTATTTCCTGCTCCACTGTTGGCATCTTTCCTCCCACTTCCTGCTTGATATCATCAATTAAGTGATAAATGACATTCATATGTTTGACTGGAACACGCTTAGCTTTAGCTTCTTCTTTTAATTTGGGTGGAGTTCTTACATTAAAGCAATATATGGTTGCTAGAAAATCATTTAAAAAATGAAATACATTGCAGATATTGTTGCCATAGAATTTTTAACAGACTAAACTATTAAATCTTACCCTTAAATAAAGAGGCTAGTTCTAGATCGTTTGGAGTGGTATCTCCAACACCGTAGTGAACTACTTGTAGAGGAACATCTGGGTTGTGGTACGTATCAAGAACATCAAGTATGGCTTCAACTGACCCATCTACATCGCCTGAAATAAATTATAATGTTACAAAACAAAAGTAATTACAGCAATAAATCTGAAAAAACAGCCCAAAGTCTTAACCATCAAAGAAAATTCTTTAAATACCTTTGATGATCACTTTTAGTTTTGGACTGTTGTCCTCAACAAACATTTTTTCTCTTTTGTCAAGCATAGATCTTAAGCCCTGCTCATAAGCTCTTCTTCTTTTCTCATGATGCAGCTAATAAACAAAGCAAAGGGAAATATTTTAGTGTCAGACCATAATGCTACTAACTTTTTAGACATTAATAAAAATAGAATTGGGAAGGGAATTATTAACCTTTTGCTGTTCTTGTGCTTTTTCTTTTATCACCTGTTGATCTGCAAGACCTTTACTTTTAATCTCCTTTGCCTTCCTATAAGAAAGAACTTGTTGAGCTCGTTTCTGTAAGAATAAAAGATATTTTAAAATAAGCAATGGCCTCTGATTCAAATACAGCGTGCATTAGCGTATCAGAAATGAAGCATACCTCTGATTCAACCTCTAATAAAATTTCTCCAGCAGAGGGAAGTTCTCTCCAGCCCATCATTTCTACAGGTGTAGAGGGGGTGGCTTGAGTTATCTGTTGGCCTGCTTCATCAAACATTAGTCGTACTTTAGCATGGGCATCTCCTGCCACGAGAATGGCACCTTTCCTCAAAGTACCTCGCTGTATAATTGCAGTGGCCAGTTTCCTAAACAATTAATGGTTAGAAGAAACAGTAAAATGAATTTTATGCTTGTCGTTTTACTGAACTACATACCCCTTATGAAGATCCTGTCTTGACTCTACAATGACGCCTTCAGCTAAACCACTTGGATCACCTTTCAAGTCCATCATTTCGGATTGAATCAGAATAGCTTCAACCAGAGTTTCTACATTAGTGCCATTCAGAGCTGATATGGGAATGGCCTGAATTTCACCGCCCATATTTTCAGTATACAATTGATGCTGAGCAAGCATTTCTTCAGTTCGTTTCTATATGAAAACATAACAACATGCTGTATTAAAAATGTTTTGATAGCTAGCTCTAAAATTATTTTGATTGCTTCATACTTACAACATTAGCACCCGGTTTGTCAATTTTATTGATTGCAACAATGATTGTAGCTAAGAAAGGAAGAAAATTTTAAATTACTTTACTCTTGAAGATGTTAAAACCACAGTCCAACATTCCAATCATTGAAGCAGAAGGAAGGTAACACATTTGATAAACTTGATTTCATTCATTAATGAAAAAAAAACAAACCTCCAGCCTCATGAGCCATCCGGATTGACTCGATAGTTTGCTCCATGACTCCATCATCAGCAGCAACAACAAGAACAACAATGTCAGTAACATTGGCTCCTCTTGACCGCATAGAAGAAAATGCTGCATGTCCAGGAGTATCGATGAATGTTACACTGTCATTGTTACCAAGTTTCACTGTAATTAGACTTTTCAAGATTAATCTTTATTGATTTACCTTAGGGGCCTCAATTGAATTACTATGGTCACATTTACCAGAGAAGGCGCCTATATGTTGGGTTATTCCTCCAAACTCACTAGCAACAACATTAGCCTTCCGAAGGTAATCTAGAAGGGTAGTTTTTCCATGATCCACATGTCCCATTATTGTCACTATAGGGGCTCTTTTGACTAAATCCTCAGGATTGGGTGGCGGCCTATTTAAAAAAGAAACCATTGAAAAGGATATATGGACCAGGAAAACTGATTACCTCTTATACAGCTGTTTTCTAATCTTACCTTGGATGTGCATCAATATCTCTGTCATCTGTTTCATTAACTTTGGTGGCAATTAGCACAGGTGCCTTGCCAAGAAATTTTACAACATCCTGCAGAATCTCAGCATTATTAATTAAATCAGCTTTTGACTTGTAAAAGTGACCTTCAGGAACATGATCATGCAAAATGGTCAAAAGTTGCTCTGAAAAATACAATTTAAAAGAATAAGACAAACATTTTTTTTTCCAAATCAATACCACAGCCATATAACGAACACAATGCCATACTTGGTTTTAGGTTTAGTTTTGTGGCCAATTCTATGACTGACATATTCCGCCATACTTCCACTCTCTCTCGTTTCTTCTTATCCAATCTAGCAAGGAGAAATTCTTTCCTCTGAAATTTAACCCAAAAAAATGCAAGTCTAAGTGAATTTCAAAATAAAATAAAACAAAATAAATTGATTTAGATAAAGCACAGCAAATTGAAAAATAAAAATGAGGCACAAGAACAAATACCGCTTCAAGTTCCGATTTTGAACGGACACGGACACATGACGAATGAAAGGATGCATTTTGAATGACATTATGTGCTTCGTAGCAAGCAGTATCATTGGACGGTATTAAAAGGCTCTGTAGTGATGCTGCAAATCCTCTGGAAGAAATTAATTTTTGATTCTTTTCATTAATGATGAGTTTTAACCTGAAAATGGGAAGGGTAAATGTAAGAACAGATTAAGGGTCTTTAGGAACGATGCGTACCAACACGTTAAATTAAATCAAGACTCAAATCAATTATTGTTCAACATGAATATTGCGTGAAATACGATGTAGATGTTTGTAAACTTATTGCCTTACAGTGTGAAAGGTTACTGTGGAAAACATGAGTATTTTTAATATAAGGCAAAGGAAAATTAAATAAAAGAAAGATTTAAAAATTAAAAAAAATTGTCCAATTATTGAAGTGAATCTGAAGTAATGACAAGATCGCTACATAATTTCGTATTGTATATTACCGTCTTCCTCCGTGCCCTAACCTCAACAAGGACGCAGCCATGTTTAGTTTCGATGTTCTCATAGATCGACGCATCGACATTGTCTCGATGCTCTCTAACTCTAGAGGCGAGAGTCGATAGCTCGTGAAGCGGCTCGAAGGGTAGGCAACCCATCGCGCATGGCGGCAGACCAGTGGCATACGGACACGGCGCTAGGCGCTCGTATTGGACGGAAGAGGGAATACCAAGGAAAGTTCCATGCTCACTGGCCCATTAGTATACGGTCCTCTCGGACTAAAAAACGGGTAAGTTATCTGAGATTGCGGGCTCTTTCTCCGAGATTTGGAAATGACTGAAAACTTCGATTTGAGTTAGTTTGAATTATGAAAAAGTTTTCACATAAATCTTCAAGTAACGATCCTCTGATACTTTTGGTGAACTGCGTAAGGAATTGGCCCCTTTCTCCTTTGGCGATTTCAAGGAATTATTGCCTGTCATTCCGATTCCTCTTCGTCTTCAATTGCGGATTATCCAACTCCGCATATTTCCACGAGTACTAGAAAGGGTGGCGGTTGCACCTATTTTCCCGTCGCTCCACTCACTCCAAGGATGAGAATTTCTCCTCCTTGTCTTTGACCGTTTCCGTGATAGGTTTGGGTGAACAAAATTTCAAAACATCAGTCAATCAATTAAGTCGTATATTTAACAATTTCTTACAAGTTTTGAGGCAGATAAATTAGTACACGTATTCTAAATTGAAGCACACAATATTTATATTTTCAGAGGGGCAGTCCAGTCTGTGGTACAGTCAGAAGACTTAGGATAAGTCTTCAGGGAATAAATTCAGAGAAGCTTCGAAATAGATTTGAGCATTGTGGTATCACCCGCCCACTGCAAATATTGTCACTCTTGCATCCCTGATTCGTAAAACTACATTCGTCCAACTGCACAGCTTGATGTATCCTCCATCACAATATCGTTAGATTGTTAGCAGCTGCAACGAACTTTAACGATAACAATAGACCTACGGCAGTCGACAATGTTAGGTTGAAAATGGCATGACACCGATTTCGAGGCAAACTGAGGGGTGCCTCTTACTGACTACGTGCGTCCACGGATCGATCGACGATCGCGCACAACAATACTTGCATAATCACGCATGCATTCGGAAATAATAATAATAATAATAATAATTTAAATAAATATATAAATAAATAAATAATTCGAACACGCAGACTCATACATTTAACAGGCACTCATCATCAAAAGACATGGAAATAAATTAATACAGAGAGGACACACATGCACACGTTCTCATTCATCCAGATGCACAAAACCTATCAGTCACGTTCACATTCGGTAAGGTGAGGATGGTTATCTGCACTTCACACAACTCTCATTGTATTTGAATCTGCGCGCGGGGCTGCTAGGGTTGGCTGCCCTGCCCTGGCCTAGGGCCGGCCTCGGGCTGGCCCTAGTGGCCTTCCCCTCGCGGGAGTGTTGCCAGGCCGTGGAAACAATTTGCGATTCGCGCACATCTTGCGACCTGCGCGGAGAAAGTGACGGTTTGCTTGGCAACACTGTGTCGAGGCGAGTCCGCCGCCCTGCCCAGCCGTCGGCCCTGTCGTCGGCACTGTCGTCGGCACTGTTGGCACCCCTGCAGCACTGCAGCATGCCTACAGCATGCCTGCAGCGAGCAGGGCGACGAGGGCGACAGCGAGACAGCGGGGCAGGGCGGTGCGCTTCGGGCCGGGCAGCACCCTGGGAACCCTCGCCGCACTTTACTCATTCACACGTCACACCGCACTGCAAAACATGTGTGCGTGAGTGGGAGGCGCACTGCGTACTGCGTGCGTCCAGCAGTGTCCAGGTCGGACCGGACCGGGCCGGACCGGAGGGCGCAGGGCTGCGCAGGGCCCCTGCTAGGCCGGGCGTCGCCCGCTGATCCCTTTCGCCGTTGTTTGGCCTCCAGGTTTCGGGCGATGCCTGGGCGATGCGTGCCTCGGGGTCCGGGGCCCCGCGCGGTCCTATACCCTATCCAATGTTTCCCGCCCCGCCCCGCCGCGCCCCGCCGCGCCGCGCCCGACCGGTTCCTGTTCCTGGCCGGCCGGGATGGCCACGCCGCACCGCCGTGCCAGCCTCTTTGCCGGCGCTGGCGCGCTGGCGCGCTGGCCCCGCGATCCAGGGCACGCCGGAACCAGAACCAGTCAGTCTGGCCGGCCCGGCCGGCCGGCCCAGCGAACTAGACATTCTTCCGTTAGCAAGACAGGTGGCTCAGCTCCGAAAGCGGATCGAAGCATAAATGTGTCAAAAGAGGAGGAGAAGGCCGACACGCACCACACACATCCGCAGTCCGCGGTCCGCACCACGGGGCACGAGCGCGGCAGCAGCAGCGGCAGAGCGGCTCAAAATCCAACCATCCCGTTCATATGTCTATGCCACCGGGCCCGGACTGCTCACGGAAAATGTGTGCCTCGTCCACTCGAAATTTGTTGCCCTGACTGCGTTGGGCCCCGGGCGTGGCACGGCGCGGCACACGCGATTGCCCCTCCTTCTGCGCACTGCCCCTGGAGGAGAAAGTACGCGCCACGCGGGCCGCGGCAGCGCATGGGCAGCGGGCCCGTCCCGTCCGATCGTTGGTTTACATTCTTTCGGCCCGCCCGCCCTCCGCCCGCAGGGCCCGCAGGCTGCAGGGGTGCCTCTCAGCCTCTCGGCCACTCAGCCTCTCACGGCGGCGACGCGGCGACGCCGGTCTGCGGCAAACCCGAAAAGGGAAGAGTTCCGTCGCACCGTTGCACCCACAGGACACACAGATGTTTTGACTAGTTGGTGCGCTGTGTTGGCAGTCGCTATTTACAAACATGATAAAACCTATCAGTGGCCCAGTATCGTCACACTTTGGGTCCTTGAGCATTATTACGGATTGGCTGATAAGGATACTTCACAGAAGTATAGAAAGATTCGACAAGGAGATAGCTGGAGCGGGTCATTTTTGCTCGTGCTCCAGCTCGATTCGGGGGTACCAGCCCCTCCCACCCCACCCCGCCCACCCCAACCCTTCCCACCCCACCCCTCCCTACCCCGCCCCTGAGCCCCCCACCGCCAGGCGTGCGTCACTACGGGGGACACAGAGCGTTCCATCTTGTGGTGGCGAGAGTCCTAAAGAATCCTACTGCACTCCTACGAGTAGAAGCAGCTCTTGCTCTTGGCCTTGGCGCCGTGCAGGGTGCCCTGCATGCTGCTCTGCATGGTGGCCTGCACGGCCATGACGGGCACCACGGGGTGATGGCTGAAGGCGGGCGCGGCCTTGTCGGAGTGCCGCAGCGCGAAGGGCCTGAGCCGCACGCACAGGAAGGCGGACAGCAGGCACGACACCACTAGGATGGCCAGCAGCACCACCAGGGTGGCCGCGAAGCCCGGCGTCGTCATGCAGATGAGGCCGGCGTCGTCCCTCGCGCCCAGCACCATGGTCGGGGCGGAGGAGGCCAGGGCGGAGGCGTTGGCGGACTCGTCCAGCGAGAACGTGAGGTCGCCCGTCGAGACGACGCGGATGATCCTGTTGACGCCGACCTCGGCGGGGCGCTGCGGCGGCTGGTCGCCGGTCTCTCGCCGGTGGCGGCCGTGGGCGTGGCTGGGGACGCCGTGGCTGGGGGGTCCGTGGCTGGCGAGGCGCACCTTGCGCTCGTCGCGGGGCCGGCTGCCGGCGGCCTGCAGGTAGGCCTCCAGCCCGAGCGGGGAGTGCTGGCCGTGCTGCGGGGGGCCGTACTCGGAGTGAGGGCTGGGGCCCACCACGTGGCCGGGAGGCCCGATGGGGAGGTTGCCGTCCGAGCACTGGTCGGGGCACTGGTAGCGGCAGATCTGGATCGTGCACTGGAAGTGCACCTCCATCGAGTCGGGGAACTTGAAGGCCTGGAAGTGCGCGTACGACAGCACCGAGGCGGACGCGCCGAAGTTCTTGATCTTGGTGAAGCGCGACATGAGCTTGGGCCGGGTGACGCAGCCCTTCTGATCCACCAGCTGGATGGGGGCGCGCTTGCCGTCGTGGGCCATGCAGTTGCGGACCAGCATGTCGAACTTGGAGTCGTCGTCCTTGATGGCGAGCACCATGGTCATGGTCTGGCCGATCTTGACCAGGCCGGACACCTCGGAGGCCCAGGGCCCCTTGCCGACCTGGATCTGCATCCAGCAGCCCACGTTGTCGCCGGCGAAGTCGGCGCGCACCACGTCCAGCATGTCGACGGGGAAGGGCCGGAAGGTGACGGACTTCTCGTACTGGTCGTGCCACGTGCAGCGCAGCTTGCGCGCCTGGTCCCACACCTCCTGCACCTGGGGGTCGTACTGCACCACGATGATGTTCTCGAAGTACGTGCCGGAGCCCGAGTCGGCGCCGTAGCCGTACAGGCCGTTCTCCGTGTTGCCCGCCGTGCCGCACGCGTGGATGCTGATCTCGAAGTTGGCCGAGGTGCGGCCCAGCCCCGCGGGCAGGTGCACGCAGTTGACGTTGCTGTAGTGGCCCTTGCTGAAGACGATGCCGTAGAAGGGCTTGTCGAAGCTCAGGAACACCTTCATGGCGTTCTTCTCACACTTGACGTCCAGGGACACGATCTTTGGCATGTCCGGGGTGGACACTGGCCAGGGGTCGCCGCCAGGAGGGCCACCGGGCCCCTGGAGGGCGGGCGGCCCGTACAGCTTGTCCATGGCCTCGGGCTGGGCTTGCGGGGGTCCGCCGAGGGGCGGGCCGAGGGGCGGCGGCGGGCCGTGGTACTGGTTCTTAAACGGCTTGTGCGGGGGCGGGCCGCGTAAGGGATGGCCACGTGGAGGTGGCCCGAGAGGGCCGGGGCCGGGGCCGAGCGGGGGCGGCGCGTAGCCGCTGTGCTTGGGGGCGGTCTCGGAAGCTTCCTGGTCGCTGCCCGGCCCGGACTCCAGCTTGTTGTTATTGTTGTTGGGCTCCAGCTGTTGTGTCTGCGTGGGTGCAGCCACCACGGCCGCCTCGGGGGCGCTCTCCGCTGCCATGGGGCCGCTCGAAGCCTCGGCGTCGGCGTCCTCCAGCCGCACCTGCAACAAGACAGCCGGTCAGTCATCCTCGCACTGGTTTCAGCACCCACAAAATGTATCCACGATGGAGTGCCAAATCGGCACGTTCACGATCACGCCTTCCGTCAGCATGCCTGGCCGGAAACGTCTTGTTTACGGCGTTGCTATGGCGGGGCGGGCGGGGGCGGGGCGGGGCGGCCCCTGAGTGACCACATAACAGTAAAACCGTTCCATATACTTCATCGCAGTGGTCGTGCGTGCGGGCGACGGCGTGCGCGGCGCGGCGGGACGGGGTGACGACTCCATCACGCCGGGCCGAGCGCCCGCGATGCCCTTTTTGATCGCCGTGCTTTATGCCTACCTCGCGGCCGGGTCAAGGGGGGCCAATTGTCCTTTTCGAGCCCTGGATCCCCGTGAGGGATCAGGAAAGTGAGGAGGTTTAGATAGTGATCTGGCCGAGGGACCATTTTAAGGGGACAGTGGGGGAGGTGGGGTGTGAGGGGAGGGAGAAAGAAAGAGAGACAGAGACTCGGAGAGAGGAAGAGAGAAATCAAGAGAGAGGAAGCGAGTGCGAGTGTGTGCGTGTGTCGCCAGTAGCTAAGGTCCGGTAACGGTACGGTGGCCTGCCGGCCTGTCGGCCTGTCGGGCTGCCCGGACGAACTTGGCCTGGCGGGGACGGGCCTAGTGTGGCCTGGTGTGACCGGGCCAGCAGGACCAGCAGCGAGGCGGCCACTCCTTGTCTTCCTAGCCCAGGGCTAGCATGGCCTGGTGCGGCACCGATCCTGGGTTAGGTGGTCGCACGGCCATACAGTGTCGGTGCATAGGCCGCGCGCCGCGCGAAAGCAGGGGAATGGGGGAAGGGCATCATCTCCGCGTCGCTCCGCGCTCTGTGTTCTCCCCCAGGCACTTCTCGCCCTTCACGACACTCGAGTACCTCGGCCGCTTCGGAGCTTCGGCCTTCGGAGTGCTTCAATTTGCCACGGCTTCGCGGGATTTCGCTGCCGCTGCATCACGGCCGACGGCCGACCCACAGGCGTGCACTTGGCTCTGCAGCTCGACGCCGACCGGAGCCCTGGTCGCTCCGTCTCTCTCGCACCTCGTCCCGTAGGGGTGCGCGGCAGAGAAAGAGCTGTCCGGAATGAAGCGCGGCAGGCGGCTGGCTTGTTCGTCGCTGTTGCGGTGCCCGGGTCGCGTCACTCCGTGCCACCCGCGCCACTCACTCCGTGTCCTGCTTTGCTCCAGCTACCGAGTGTGTCATCAGAGCACCCCGGTCACGCGACACCGTGCTGCACACCGTGCTGCACACCGTGCTGCACACCGTGCTCGCCTGAAACTGGATAGCGCATGTTCCGCGTGCACCGCATGCACCGCATGCTCGTCATCCGAGCCAGGCTGTGGCGGCTGCAGCGGCCGCAGCGCCGAAAAGGGACAAACGGAGACACGCCTCACCTAACCCACTTGCAGACTGACACCTCCGCGACCAGGCCGAGCCGGCCGAGACCTTGCGGGCGGATCGGGTCCTGAGCCGAGGGGGACTGGGGGGGGGGGGGGGGGGCAGCCCCTACGCGCCGCGCGTTTTTGACTTGCGGTAAATCGGGTGGGGTATCGCCATCTCGGCGTGAAGCGGTTCCCAGGCCACCGCGTGCTTTCTCTCTTCCTCTGCGCCGCCGAAACGCCAAAACGCCAGAGCGTTGACACGTCCGGAGGGCATTCTTTTGATTGTTCGTCGAATGAGCGGCCTTCCCGGCCTTCCCTTCCCGCTTCCGGTGAGAGTGGCGCCGGCCGGCAGGCAGTGCCGGCAGTGCCACACCTGCGGCGCCGCGACTAGGCCGCCGCGCCGCGACTGTTTCGCTCCGATTCGTTCCGCACACAAGTCGCAGCGGCGGCCCGACAGATTCCCATTGTGCCGCGGGCTAGGCCTCTCTGACGGCGACAGCAAGTGGTGTGGGAGCCGCCCCGGGCCCCGCCGCCCCGCCGCCCCGCCACTCTTACTCTCGACCAGGCTCGACCGCGAAGTCACGCCGACGAGGACCAAGCGACAAAAAATGTTTGATTTGCGACTCGAGGAGCAGGACCGGGCCTCGTCCGGAGTATTGTTCGTTTCGTGCCGCCCTTCCCGACAGCGACTGCGACCAGGAGCGGCGAATCGGCCACCGAGTGAAACCCGAAGCCCGAAGCCCGACGCGGAGCGACGCGGAGCCGAACAGAATCTGCAGCACGCGGCCCCGACGGCCCCGACGGCCCCGGCGGCCCCGCTGACGGACGGCCCGTTGTCTCCGCGGGTCGCGCGGCCTACCGCAGCGCGCGCGTGTGTGTACGTGCGGCGTGTGGCGTGTGTGTGCCTCCATGCCTCCGCGACGGATTGAGCGCGTGTCCCCGTCCCCATGTCCGTGTGCGAGGCTGCGGGGCTGGGAGGCGCCGAGGAGTGAAACTTCATTTATCTGGTCGGGTCGTCCGCTGCCTTCTGTTGCTGTTACCGCCGCGGGGCCGCGCGCTGTCTGACACACTGTCTGCCGTCCCCAAAGCCTCACTCGCAGTCCTGGGCGTCCTGGGTGGACTGGGGTGCCGCTTCAGGAACGCCCGCCCCGACCACCTTCTTAGTTACCACTGATACACGTGTCGGCCGTTCAGCGAGCTCAGACTACGTACTGCATTCGGTGGCTGGCGAGCCAACCCGGTTGCAGCGCAGCTTGGGTAAACCGTCCTCATGGTGGGTCGCGTCCCTCCGTCCGTCCGTCTGACGACTTGTCCGTCGATCCGTCGATCCGTCAGTCCGTCTGACCGTCGATCCGTCGGTCCGTCGGTCCGTCGGTCCGTCTGACGGATCGGTCGTCACTTTCGCTGGGAGGCATGCCGCCGCCCCGCTGCACATCCGGCTGGTCCAGTGCCCCGCCCCGCCCCGCCCCGCCCCGCCCCGCCCCGCCGTGCCTTGCGGAAGGACTCGCATTCCTTGGCCGTTCTCCTCGATCCAGATCTTTTTTCTTTCCTCTCCCGGAGGCTTCTGCAGCTCACGTCCAACCAGGACCGCCAATTTTTCAAGCCCGACAGGGCGCGGCGCCTTCCCCGCTGCACCTGGCGGCTTCGGGCCGGGGGCCGGGCGGCTGCGGCTGCACTGCTAGGCAAGGCAGCACTCCGTCGCGGTCGTGAATGGAGGGAGCGGAGCGCAGCGGCTCGCGGGTCACGGGGACCGCCCGGCCGCTGCGCCGCTGCGGCCTGGGTCAACACGGCCCAGCCTCGGCGCCTCGGCGCCTCGGCCCGCAGTCCAGAGACAGTGTCAGAGACCCCCCCCCCCTCCCCCACCTTGACGGCACTGGGACTGCAGCAGTGTTCTCGCCTGGAGGCGCGAGGCACGAAAAGTAACACCTGCTGAAATTCGGGACTGGAGATGTCGTCAATGAGTTTTTATATTAATTAGTAAATAAAACTCCCAAGTCCATGAAATGTTGTGCAGGGAATGCTTCGACAGCGCGCCGCGACGCGGTGCTAGTTGGTGCCGGTCCACCGGTCGCGAGCCACGAGCCGCGAAGGGGAAAAGTGGTGGCAACGCCTGAAGCGTCGTGGACGGCCTGGACCCGCAGAGTCCGGTCCACAACGGCAGCGACAACAGGTGGCGGCCGCGGCACCCGAAAGGCCTCTGTTTGGTGACATTACGAGGCGGGGCGGGGCGGGGCGGGGCGGGGCGGCCCATTGTTTCGACCCGGTGATCCGTGCGAAAGTGGCACCGCCGGCCGGGCCGGCAGGGCCGCGGCATGCTGCTGCAGGTGGTCCCGTCCCGTCGCCGCCACTGCCTCCCCTCCGCAGGCCCGCCGCGTCCTTGCCTCCCTTTCCTTGTGTGTTTTTATTTTTTTCCCCGAGCCAAATTCTCTTTTCTGTTCCGCGAGAAAGGGGTCCTGAGACGGACGCGACGCGACGCACGTCCGAGTCCGGATCAAGATTCCCGGCTACCCTTGTCCCCCCCCCCCCCCCTCTCTCTCTCTCTCTCTCTCTCTCTCTCTCTCTCGCTTTCCGTTTCGTTGTCGGCGCGGCCACAAAGCGGTCGCGGCCAATCAATTGAGTGATTAGGCCGGAGCGCTGCAGCCGCGGCGACCGCGGCGACCGCCACGGGGAGTGGCTTTGTCTCCGCCTTAGCTTACCGGGTTCATGAGGAGGCACGCCACCAGCAGGGTGTGCAGCAGCAGCATGGCGGCGGCTGGATTGGAGTCACTGCAACAGAGAAGCGGAACGTAAGCCGGGCGGCGGAGACAGCGGACACAGAGTGGCGTTGCGCATTGCGGTCGCAGACGCCGCAGAGCGGCGGGCATTCGAACCCGCAGCGTCGCCATGGCGTCGCGGAGTCTCGGCGGCGAAGGGCACGAAGGCACGCCGCCTGTTGCGCAATTACGCTTTGCTTTTCCCCGCCAAGTGGGAGGCTGTGAAGTGTGCCGGCCGGGGCCTCGCCGCGCTCTCTCGGAGGAAATGGATCAAAAGGCGGGAAAGATGTCGGTCGCGCTAAACATGACGGCCCGCTCGAAGTGCAGGACGAGGACGCCTCGGCGCCGATATCGCAGCATGGATCACCAGCGACTCGGCCGACACGGCCGACACGGCCAGCACGGCCACGTAGCCCCATTCCCCACGGCTCGACCGAGACCTCCCCCGCTTATTATATCTCTAGGACGCCATCCGGGCTGCGGCTGCGGCGTGGCGTCGCGAGGCGTGCCTGCAGCCGGCCTGGTGGGGGACGTTGTGGCTCGCATTCGTAAATATGCGTCCGCCTGGCTCCTCCAATAGCTGCCAGAATTCGTAACTCGTTCGGAAAACGGACTCCTGACACCTGACACAACTTGAAGAGGCGCTTCTTCCGGGAGACACTCAAAGTGATGATGCTTCCCCAAGTGTCCGACCGGACCCTCCCCTGCCCGATCATTGTATCGAGAATGCCTTCCCCTGCCGCACTCTGGCTGGGGCTTATTGAGAACTTCCCTGCGCGCACCGCCAAAACTAGGTGGCCGTCGAGGACAAGATGTGGCGCGTCATCGTCCAGCTGACAGACAGACCCGCGGATCCAAGGGACCCCCGGATCCACGGGCCCACCGGGCAGCCAGGGAGCCTCCCGCTGCGCTGGCCTGCCAGCTTTGCCTTCCACGACGCGTCTGCTGCCGGCCCCACACCGTTGCTGCCGCGCCGCCGCCTCCGCAGTGAGGTTTCCGCTCGGAAAAGCTTGTAATTCCTTGTTCCGCGGCGTTCGCGGCGTTCGCGGGGTCAGTCGGCGGGCCGCGGGCTGGGGCTGGGGCCGGCGTGCCGCCCACTTAGCGTGCTGCCCACTTAGCTGCCTGACCACCGCCGGTCTGCTCAAAGCTTAAATGAAACGCCGTCCCGCTGACGGGCCGGGCGGCGGGGGCCGGCGGGACGGGCCTCACGCTGAGGCTCTCTGGGGCTAGCCAGCGCTAACCGATGACATATACAAGTTGCGGATAGCACCGCTCGCCGTGGCCGCCGTGGCCGCAGAGGCCCTGCCGGTGCCCCCCGGAGCCCTGGGGCGCCCTCACCACACCCTAACCCCCATGCAGCCAATGCCGCGTCCCGTGTCGGCCCGGCTAGTCCCGGCCCGCGGCCACGCGGTCCTGTTACTTTGTGCCAGTGTGAGTGTGTGCGTGGGTTTGGCCGAGATAGTCAAGCAAGAACGCTGCGCTGCGTCGGGCGGCATTTCATTAAACAGGACCCTTTTAAGATTTTTTTTAAAGGAAAGCGTGTCAATAGTGCACGCCTGCCCGTATTCGTTTGTCAGTCCTTTTCAAAAGCAAAGGCCGTCGTGAGGGACGGGAACCAACCGAACGACACACACTCAAGGACTAGGGACTCCACGTGCTCAGCTAGCTTTCTCTATGGACAAAAAATATCTGGCTTGCGTCGACCCGACGCCTGACGGTGACAAGGGGCCAGCCTGCCAAACACCGAAGTGCACCATGGTGGCCTACCCCAGACCTCGCAGGCGCTCAGAGCGCCTGACGGCGACAGGGTGGGCCAGCCCGCCGAACACCGGAGTGCACCATGGTGGCCTACCCCAGACCCAGGCGCGGATCCAAGGGGGGGGCGATGGGGGCGTCGCCCCCCGAAGCAGCCGCTGAATGTAGGCAAGTCGCACATAACCCCTGTAGGTAGGCAACTTTCACGACGTCGCCCCCCCCTGAACCCGTCCCTGGATCCGCCCTTGCCCAGACCTCGCAGGCGCTCTGAGCGCCTGACGGCGACAGGGTGGGCCTGCCCGCCGAACACCGGAGTGCACCATGGTGGCCTACCCCAGACCTCGCAGGCGCTCAGAGCGCCTGACGGCGACAGGGTGGGCCAGCCCGCCGAACACCGGAGTGCACCATGGTGGCCTACCCCAGACCTCGCAGGCGCTCAGAGCGCCTGACGGCGACAGGGTGGGCCAGCCCGCCGAACACCGGAGTGCACCATGGTGGCCTACCCCAGACCTCGCAGGCGCTCAGAGCGCCTGACGGCGACAGGGTGGCCAGCCCGCCGAACACCGGAGTGCACCATGGTGGCCTACACCCAGGCCTCGGGCGATCGTGCCCCGGGCGGCGAAACCCGAATTAGGCAAAGTCGACTCCCATGTAGGTGGCACTTTGACGTCGCCCCCCCTACCCGCCCCGGTCCGTTGCCCAGACCTGCAGGCGCTCGGGCCGACGGCGCGGGTGGCCTGGCCAAACCGGCCCATGTGGCTACCCCAGACCTCGCAGGCGCCAGAGCGTGCGGGACAGGGGGGCCGCCCCCGACACCGGGTGCACCGGGGCCACCCCAGCCTCGGGGGGCGCCGGCGGCCTCGGCGAAGGGGGCCAGCTCCGCGACAGGAGTGCACATGGTGGCCTCCCAGACCTGCAGGGCTCAGAGCGCCGCGGCCAGGGTGGGGCCCCGAAACCATGACCATGCTGGCCTACCCCAGACCTCGCAGGCGCTCGGCCGGGTGGGCAGCCCGTGCCCAACGCTCGCTCGGCCGAGGGGGAGGGGCTCGAGGGGCGTTTGGTCGGTGTTTGGGCTCCTCGCGTGGCCTCGCCATCCTGCGCTGCGGGCGTCGCGCGGGAAGTGTCCCAAAAACGCCAATGGAGACTTTTTTCACGTGTTGTTTTTCGGATGGCTCCGCCAATGGGCGTCGGGGCGGCTGCCCGGCTCCCGGGTGCCGCACGAAACGCCTCGGGCCGATCCCGGGCCGGGAGTGACCGCATTTTTTAATTGACCCCAAGTATTTTGGCGTGCGCAGTGCACGCGGCTGCAAGGCTGCAAGGCTCGGAGCGGCGCGGCAGCCGGGGCCCCTTTAATCATGATTTAGGTCGCAGAGCAGGCAGGAGGCCCGGGCCGGGGACCGCGCTGGACCGGGGCCGCGCTGGGGCGGGGCCGGGGCCCTCGGGAAAGTGCATGCTTTCGGGACAGAGCAGTGCGTGGCCTTCGGGCCTTCGGGCCTTCGAGAAGCCGGCCGGCCACTGGCCTGACACACGGCACGCCACAGACCGCGCCACGCCTCGCCACACGCCCCACGCCCTGCCACAGGCCCTGCCCCACATGCTCAAGCACTCGTGTTGCAATTAGAGATGGCTCACACTACCGCGCTGCCGCGCTGCCGCGCGGAAGTTTCACTCTCATGGAGTCCCTGGAGTCACTAGAGCGCCGGCTCACTCCCGCCGTCCAGCAACGAACCGAGCAGTCGCTGCAGAGTCCAGGAAAAGACTTTCGGAGTGTTCGAATTTTATTGACCATCTTTGTCAAGTCGAAGTAACAAGCTCGAAAAGAGTGAAACAAATCAAGTGACGGTAATATTCCGAAGTTGCATCATGTTGCAACCTGCACCCCTCCCCCTCCTGGCGCTGCAGTGATGACCGTCAACAAAATTTGATCTGATCTCATTGACTGAGTCACTGGAGAAGGACCAGCCTCGGTCGCCGACGACAGTCGCGGACGCGGCGGTGCAGGTGCAGCGAGTGCCGCGGGCACGGTCCGCGGAAAGGCTGGAACAGGTGTGTGAGGGGCGGGGCGGGGCGGGGCGGGGCGGGGCGGGGCGGGCAAGAGCGACTTTCTTTCGGCCCCGACCCAGTACCAACAGGCCAACGTCCGGGAAAAGAAAACGAAACCAATCATAAGGAAGGACAATTATTATTATCATCACGGATGTACAATGGAATAAAAAGCACCCCACCCGCTCGTGTCTCAATGATGTGTGTGTGCGTGTGTGCGCGCACGCGCGCGCGTGTCCGTATCCCAGTCAACGAGACTGGTGCACGTGCGTGTGTGTGGGAGACTGAATTTGTGCATGTACACGTACACACACGCACACCTACACACACACAGACACGAACGCGCGGACAGACCCGACTCAAAGCGATGCGCCATCCACATTATGCAAACGCATGTAAGGCACGCTACGGCTGACTCACTCGGGCCGACGAGCCACTTCCCCCTCTCCCCCGGGCCATCTCTCCTTCACCACACACACCTATGACAAATTAGTTGATGAATTAATGCGAGGTGTGCGTTCTGCAGATTGCGAAGAGATCTCGCAAAAACGGACGAGAAACAAAAAAAAAGTCGAAACCCCTCAAAACGACGAGGCGTCACTCTCTGTTTTCGAACGTTAGTTTGGATTCGGCGGGCCGCATCGGCGGGCCGATTTGCTGCCTTTCTCTCGCCAAACGGCCCGCAGCACGCAGCGCGCCGAGGAGCCCGTGAGGGGAGGGAGCACTGCCGCGGCGATGCATCCACTGCCCCGGTTCGGCGCGCCGCTCCGCCGTGGCCGTGGCCGCGCAGGCCGTCCACACGTATCCATCCCAGACTCGCAACTATGCGGCCGTCTGTCTGTATCCGCTCCACCACTCACCACTGCGCCAGTCTGTCTGTCTGTCTGTCTGTCTGTCTGTCTGTCTGTCTGTCTGTCTGTCTGTCTGTCTGTCTGTCTGTCTGTCTGTCTGTCTGTCTGCGGGGACTATTAATCGACTGGACGCGTCGAGTCCGCACGAAATGCAGCCCGCCGTTCTTCCCGCTACTTCCAGTGGCGGCGCCTTGAGGCTTCCGGGCCGCACGACGCCAGGCCGCCCGGCCCTTCGCCCAACTCTCAGCCTCAGCACCTCGCGGAGTGTTCTCGTTGATTTGCGAAGGCGGTTCGCAGAAGGCCGTCCCCGGTCCACGCCCGGACGCCGCGCGGCCGTCAGGCGCACAGGAGTGGAGTGGGTCACATCAGAGGATGGCTTTTGAGCTCTGCTTTCCTGAAATGGGATTCGGATCAAACGCATGAAAGATGGCCCTTGCGATCGAGGAGGAGCCTGTTGGCAGCCAGGAGAGTGATCCGCGACTCGCCGCGGTTCGCTTTGATGCCGCGACAGGCCGAGGCCGCCGCGCCTCAACCGCGCCTTGGCCGCGCCGCTCCGTCTCGCAGACAGAGTAGGGTCATAAGCGAAGTTAGTGCCGTTCGCGTTCGAGCATCGAAGAGGCCGAAGAGGCGGCAGTAAACCTGGAAGCGATGTTTGGTATGTGCGCCAAAAAAGGTTGCGCCCCGTTGGAGCTGCCGGCTAGGTACTTGACGACTTGCTTGCGGGCCCGGCACGGCCCCGCCACCCCGCCACGCCGGCAGCCCTGCCAGGGAGGCCGGCTCTCAGCTGACAGCACTAATGCAGCGCAATTGCGAGGAACCGTCGAACCGTGGGCTGCCTCCGAACAATGCTTTTGTCGCTCTGTCTCTCTCGTGTTCTGAGTAGAGACTCAGAAGGGCTTATGTTCTAAGTGTAACTTGAAGGTTCGCGCCATGTGGACCAGGTTGCCATACTTGGTGCCACGTCATGTAGACTGTCAACTGTTGTCCTTTGTCTCCTGCTTGTGTGTGTGGACTGCTGTATTCCCCCTTGCACTCATAGAGAGTAAAGTCGTATCAGTATACCGAGTGATCCTTTCGTACTTATTTTACCTTGAACCAAACCATGATTAGAACATGGCGCAGTCGTAAAGGACTTACAAGAGTGCTACGTGTTAAAAGTGAAAAATTGACTGTGGAAAATGTGAAATTGTGCGAAGTTTGGACTCTTGCAGAAATGTGCGATGCCACACCCAATCCTTTGAAGATGATTTAGGCAGCCAGGCCCATGGAATGTGAAAGTGATGTAGAAAATTGATACCATTGGTGTGACTTTGTGATTTTCAATTATTTTCTCTGAAAATTTTTTTTCGAAGACATTGGTTTAAGTGGCCGAGAAGAAAAGCCTGATCGGGTGGTGCAAGTGTGTACAAAATAGACCACATATGGAATTTAAATGATCTGGTCAAGTGTTGTAAGTACAAGGACACTACAGGAAGTTTTCTGGACGTTAAATTTGGAACTTTCCCCTTAAAAACTTTCACAAGACGCTGAGGCTGAAGTCTAACCTCCTTCCCGTGTGAGTGCGTCTCAGTTCAAGGCCGTCAAAGCCTCGTCCAGATTAAGCGTGGAGGAAGTGCAAGTTAGGTAATTGCGACTATGCATGAGTCATCGGAAGAACTCAGGAGGCCGTGGCAGTACGGGCCGTGGCAGGCGGGGAATACTCTCTGGCCGTGGTGCGGGGAATACCGTCCTGGCCGTGCCGCCCAAGGAGAATGGAGTCGAGTGGAGTCGTCAATGCGCGGTATCCAAGACGCTGTGCATGATGGATTCTCAGAGGCTTTGCAGCAGAACGAACTAGCGGTTCAAGTAATTAAGACCCGATGCTGAAATTGCTCTTAATGGCATGGACTGTGAAGCCAAGTAAAGCAACGCTAGTGTGTTGTACGCACAATAAATTGAGGAAACGAGCAAATGAAAGACAAAATGGTCCTGATAAATCTGCCAACTGCATCATTTCTACATTACAAACTAAAGGTGGGTTCAATCAATTTTAAAAATGACTTCAAATTTACCTTGAGCGAATTTACTGTTAATGCATTTGTGTTGTCTGTTGCAAGTAACACTGGGATGCCGTCTAAGCTGAATCATACCATTGAAATTCAAAAATATAAGCCAAGGAAAGAATGAAATCAATGGAAGCGAGATTGTGGAAATCATAATTGGCTAATTATCACAGAGGCCAAAATTTGAAGAAAATGTCTACCTGCAAATCTGAAGGTGTTTGTGGACAGTTTGAATGAGGAGTACTTTGCTCTTTAATGTATGTTGTGGTTTGAAAGACTCGTGAAAGGTGGATGTGTAGAGTGATAATTGTGTTTGGTTTCGTCTGTTTAGTCTGCTTAAATTATCGAGTTTAACTACACGCGATAATGCCAAATTAGAGGTAATGAAAACCCTTTTTCTGAGATGAAAAGCTAAAGCTTGTGCTGTTCTTAATGTCTCTAAAATTGTAAACAAACAATCCAAAATGTTCATAATGCAATGTATAAAATCCAAGTTGCCTTAAAACTAAATGAGTATTAAAAGAAAAGGTGTTACCAGTCTGGGAACGTTTAGACAAGTTGTGACACTTTGGTAGACCAGACAGTCTAGCCGAATTAGTGTTGCCTTGAAACGTCTCCGTAATTTAGACTGAATTGAACTTTAAAAACGCTGAGGAAGGAAGGCAAAGTTCAAAGTTGCTTAAGTGATTTGAATATGCCTAGCGTACTAAGTTACCGAAGTAACTGCACGAAAATCTGTATCAGAATCATGAAAGATCAAACGCAGCTAAGAAAGGAAACTGAAACAATACCAGGATAAAAGTGTGTTAATCCTGAATTGAAATAAAAGTATACCAGGATAAAAGTGTGTCCATCCTGAATTGATTAAGAAACGTGTTTCATCCTTAACTGAAAAAAAAAGGTCAGGATAAAAGCGTGTTCGTCCTGAGTGAAATAAGTAATGCCAGAATAAAAGCGTGTTCATTCTGAATAAAGTAATCCCAGGATAAAAGTCTGTTCATCCTGAACTGAAGCAAACTTTGATACAAAATTAATAATAATCCTCTCAAAAAATTAATTCTGATCATACTGCAGTTCTGATCAAAAGTGTCCGAAAATAAGTAAGCATTTTCTTGATGTGTGGTAAAAAGTGTCAAAAACTCAATTTTGTAAGAGTTGCACTTAGTGTGTTCATTACCAAGGTGTAGTTTGGTTATGCTGTGAACGTACGGTACTGAACGTCCTAATTGTTCCATGCTGGCTTGCAAAGAGCTAAAGAGTAAAAAGAGAAGGTACTGCATATCCTGTTACTGTCAGAGAGTCAATTGTGAGACTGTGCTCAGATGCCAATACAACGTTGCTAGAAATGTTGAATTTTGAAACCTGACATTGCAATCAGTTTTGGTACTGGCTATATCTGACCCGGAGAAAGTCGATATAAGTCAAAGTGGGACTGGTTTAAAAGAAACGGAAACGTGATTTACGGGTTGTAACCACTGGCAGAAAAATGAAAGATAATTTCGATTTTTCAAGTTATTGCTGGCATTCAGTTGCAGCAAGGGTTTCTGTACAAATGGTTTGGTTGCTGTACAAACGGTTACTGCGAGATGTTATGGTACCTTGATGGTAAATTGATAATTCCATGCGTGTCATGAATTGAAAATTGAAACTATTGGTTTAAGACTACATACATTTTTGTGTTCAAACGTACAAATTCTGAAATGGCTGACAATATCTTGACAGTTCCTGGATTATTCCCTGAAAAGATCCAGAAATGAATTCCTGGAGTCCTGAAAAAGATCCAGAAATGAATTCCTGGAGTCCTGAAAAAGATCCAGAAATGAATTCCTGGAGTCCTGAAAAAGATCCAGAAATGAATCCCTGGAGTCGTGACAGGTCCAGAAATGTACCCCTGAAAAAGATCCAGAAATGAATCCCTGGAGTCGTGACAGGTCCAGAAATGTACCCCTGAAAGAGATCCAGAATGGAATGCCTGGAGTATTTTGTGAAACCCAGAAATGCAAACCCGGTCAATGAAATCCGAAGTGAATCTCCTAATGCTGACATAATTTGACATAATTTGACATAAATGCCTGGAGGAAAAGAATCCAGAAATGGGTCCCAGCCAGAAATGGGTCCCAGCAAACTTTCTGAAAAGCATATCAAAACTGCTAACACTCTTTTGACGATACTGTCTGTGATGGTCCAAAAGTAATAACTATTACCTGAATGTTGAGCTAACGACTTCAGAAATGAAAAACCGTGACTAAACGAAAAGACAATACCTGAGTTGACAAGAGCAACTGTGAAGCAATCCATAATACTTAACTCAGAAATGATTTTTTTAAACGAATTTTAATAATAAGATACGAAGCTGTTTCAAAAGACAGAGAAAGTCGTTGTCTCAAAAGACGGAGAGAGTCTGACAAATTTTGAAAAAGAAAAAAAATAAAAACTCCATAGAAAAGAAAAGTTTTCCTGTGGTTGTTAATGGAATTTCATCGCAATACCGAACATAACTCTTAGGCATCAACAAAGTGGATGTTCTAAAGACAAGTTCGAATAAAGCAAAGATCACAATATCCTTCTTTTATCACAGTTTTGTGACAGAAACTCGACGCAAAAGAGGTAAATCTTTGGAGTACTTGAAACATTTCTTGTTCTCACAATTGTACCCAAAAGTGAAAAAGGAAAATGTGCTGCTTCTGTGCTGCTTAATTCAAATACATTGTTAAAACAAACTCTATTTGCCTTGATCAAGGGCTCACTAAAAAGATCGTTGTACACTGAATAACGCTGGCTGAATAACGTGCATAAGCAAAGTTGGCAGCGGCAAATGTACCAAAATAACGTGTAAGTACTGTATTTTTGAAAGCATCTCTTGTTGTTAATACCCTGTTGATCAGGAAAGGGTGTGTTGCAAACGTGTAAGGAAGTGTGTGTTGCACAAACTGTATTGCACAAACTAAAACAATGATGAGATGGAATAACGAGTCATCTGTTTACAAACATGCATAACGGAATTCAAAACTAAAGAAAATTTCAGCAGAATGTGTGGTTTAGCCGTATATGCTTTACAGTGGAAATCTCATGGTGATTCCGAGAACGAGAAAAATAATGAAAAGTTGCAGTAATTCTCAAACATCAGTTTGAAAGGTATGGTGCTGTTGAACTTTACTGTCCCAAATTCCCATAAATTTCAGAATAATATTACGTGACAAAGCTTGACGAAAAGCTATGGGGCAAATAGAAAGCAAATCAAAAGACATGTGCAAATAAAATGAGTATGTTCTGCTAGATTTATTTCCAACTCTAAGATTCTAAAGAAATTTGAACATCTGTGTTTCGAATTGAATTTATGGTGAGAGAGCCAAATGGACTGTAAGATTATTCTGAATTTTAATGTAGCAAACTGTTCGACCAGCTAATCCCTAGAGAAGTTTTAATATTTTTCTTCTGTTTTTTAAATGTGTTTTTGTACAGTTTTCTTTCATTTCCAACGAACATTAAAACTGAAAATTTGTGACTTGATGTGCTAAAGCACTGGAAGGGGAAGGTGTTCTGAGTAGAGACTCAGAAGGGCTTATGTTCTAAGTGTAACTTGAAGGTTCGCGCCATGTGGACCAGGTTGCCATACTTGGTGCCACGTCATGTAGACTGTCAACTGTTGTCCTTTGTCCCTGCTTGTGTGTGTGGACTGCTGTATTCCCCTTGCACTATAGAGAGTAAAGTCGTATCAGTATACCGAGTGACCCTTTCGTACTTATTTTACCTTAAACCCAAACCATGATTAGAACATCTCGCACTCAGGGGCGTCAGCCGTCAACTTGGAGCGACGAGAGCGCTATTCTGAATGTGCCTGCTATGGGCGTTTTCCGTCCTCTTGGTTTCGATATCGGAAGGGGTTGCTCTGCCCGAAGTTCTCTCCCGTCTCCGCCAGAGTCTCTGCAGTTCCTGGACTCTGGATATTTCACCTCAAGAGAGTCCCAGGGTTCCCGCCGAGCCGCGCCGATGGGCAGCGGGCAGACACACGAGGTCTGAAGTGGGTTAGCAGTGGTGTGGCCGGTGCTGCCTCCATCCTCCATCGTGCCCCCCCCCCCCCCCACTCTTCATCTCCTGGACGGACTTTTTGGGCCACCGCCGCGACGTGCGGACGCGTCAAACACTCGCTTGGAGCGCCGAGCCAGCTTCCGGCTGGGACTCCACATCGTGCAAACATGTCGACTTGCTATTGTCATCCGACACCGTTACTGGAACTTGGCTGCAGACTCAATTAGTGCAACATGCCGGCCGTCCTGGCGCGCTGCCACGTCTGCTCGCTACTTTTCCGGCCAACGCGGGGGCCCCCGCCGGACCCTTCTCCAAGGCTGCCCCGCTGCTGCCCGGACTTCGCCCTGCGCGATGATAACCGCCCGTCGAGCTTTCCAAGGAAGCGCCAGTCAGTCGGTCTGCGAGTGAGGGTCCCTAGTCAAGCAAGCGGGCTCTCGGCCAGCCCGCTGGAAAGCAACGCCCGGTCGGGCTGCGGGGCTGCGGGCGGGTTCCCTGCATTTCGAGTGCACCGCGTCCCGGCGGCGATCATCTTCCCGGGGGGGAGCGTCTTCTCACGGGAATGACCCCACACGCCATGTGCACGCTGCAGGCAAAGTGGGGTGTCACGCCGTCGCCGGCCGTCGCGGTTTCGGAGCCGGCAGCCGAGCCGACACTGCCAGGCACTGCCAGGCACTGCAAGCGAGGCCCGCTGGACGCCCGACGGGGAGCTTTCTTCGGTTTCAGTCCGGACCACCGCAGGACCCGGCAGGACTAGACACACTGTTAAAAAAATCCATTTAATTTTTAAAGAAACTTTTTTATGAAGCAGTTTACAAAGATTTTTTGCTAGTAAAAGTAATAAACTTTTTCTTCTTAAAAGTAAAAATTTAAAATTTTGAAAAGTAATAATCTGTTTTTTAAAAAGTTGTTTTTGCATTTAAGAAAAATTTTAATATAGAGCAGGTAAAAATTGAACGCCTTATGTACGTAATGAGTTATTCATTGTATGGTAGTAGTCGATTTCACTGCCGAAATCGCTTGGAAGCGTGGTTCAAACTCGGTCTCAAACCCCGGGAAATTTCCCGGATTACCGCACCGCGACGCTACCAACTGCGCCACGAGTGAGCTCTGCGAGGCGGGCTCTAGGATGTGGATGACTCCAAGCCTCTCGGCGGAGACTCCGCTAGGCAGTGGAAGCGCTCATCCCAGGGCCTCCAAACACGATTTCACATGACCAAGATCATCCAAATTTGTTCTTTACGTACACTGGTAGTGAAGCGCCCAAATGATCACAATTTTAACTGGCAGGATGAGAAAAAATATGAAAAGTCATGGTAATTTTGAATTTTAAAAAACAAATTATTGCTTTTGGGTAAACAGTCTAAAATTTAATAACCTTTTTTTATTTTAATAAAGTTTCTGAAACTTACCAATATTTTCATTACTTGTCAGAAATTTTTTGGGAAATGAAAGAAAGTTTTTTAAAACTTCACAAACCTTTATGATTTTTCATATCCTTTAAAAAGGTTAAAATTAAGATGTCATTATGTATTAAATTTAAAAATTTTTTTTAACAGTGCATGTGCGCCGCGCCGCCGCTGCGCCGCCGCCGACGAATTTTACCACGCCGCCGCCGCTGCCCAAAAAAATTTGCGGCGCGCCGCCGCGCCGCCGCCGATGATTTTCCGGCGGCGGCGTCGGCGTCGCGCCCTTAAATGCCCAAAATATTTGCATTTCCATCAGCAGCGAGCGCCCAGGGATAGGCAACCCGACGAGCAGTTCTCCGCCGCCAGAAAAAATTTCTTTTTGGGAGTGTTTAAATTGCTTAATTTTTTCCTTTTAAACGAAACTAGTCCACCCTAAAGAACTAGTCCATCAAATTGTGTTTTTTTTCAGGGGATTTTTTAAATTGAGAAAATAGACCAAATTTAAGTCAACCACGCCGCCCGCCCGCCCCCGCCGCCGCCGATCAAGACATCGGCGCAGACGCCGGCGTCGCCGCCGCCGCCGGGTAAAATTTTGGCCAAACGCCGCCGCCGATGAAAATGCGGTCGGCGCACATGTCTAGGCAGGACACAGTGTCAGTACGTGCCAGCCCTGCCCTGCCCTGCCCTGCCCCTCAGCCAGCCCTCAAACGACGCGACAAAGTTTTTGCGACGCGCGGGCTGCATGCTGGCTGGCTCACGGTTTTCCCGGGTGCCGGTCCTGGCCGGTCCTGGCTCGTTTGGGGCGGCGTCGCGGCGTGCTCCGGATCGCGGCACCTCCAAGGGCGAGGCGCCCTGCGCACTTCATCTCTGTCACCGGCCGGTCCTGCAGACTGATTCCGGGGACCCGTTCCGTCGCTCCGCCTCTCTCGCTCTCATGCAGCGTCCCATAGGGGTGCGAGAGAGAGAGAGAGAGAGAGAGAGAGAGAGGAGAGAGAGAGAGGGGAGAGAGAGAGAGGAGAGAGAGAGAGAGAGAGAGAGAAGAGAGAGGAGAGAACAGCGACGAAAGAAACGACTCTTTGGAATCGCTCGGCTGGCCAGGGAAAGTGGCGGGCCGGGCCAAGGGCCGGGGGGACTCGGGGGTTGCGGCGTCCCTCCTCGGCGTCCTCAGCGTCCTCGGCGTCCTCGGGGTCCGGGGTAATGCCGGCCCAACCGAACCGAGCACCGGCCGACCGGAAAAGGACTTCCTCTCCCCTTTTCTCTCTCTCTCTCTCTCTCTCTCTCTCTCTTCTCTCTCTTCTCTCTCTCTCTCTCTCTCTCTCTCTCTCTCGCACTCGCAAAGTGGCCAATGGGAGTGGAGAAAGACGGGCCAACGAGGCATGCTGTTCGGAGTCAGAAACCCCGCAAACCTCTCCACGCTTCTTTTTGGCACGCGGACACGCGCGCGCCCCGCGCGCCACGACGATTCCCCCCGGGGAAAAAACGGTCGCGAAACCCTCGGAAAGCAAAGTGGTGCACACGTGAAAACGATCGAGGCGGCCGCGCCTCGCCGCTGCGCCGCCGTGCCGCGCCCCTTGCATCGCGCACTGGCGTATCATTATGTTGCCCAGGCTGCGGGCTGCGGGGCTGCGGGCTGCCCGGCCCAAATGAGAGGGTGAGAGGGAAAGCCGATGCGACTGCGAACTGCGAATCCGAGCGTGCGACTGCGAACGGGCATGCGAATTTTGATTGCAATGTGGCATTGCAGACGGGCTGCACCGCCAGCCGGCACCACCGCCAGCCGGCGCGCCGGGACGCAGGGCGTGGCGTGGCGTGGCGTGCCATTTTCATGCGCCGCCTCATTAAGGGCGGGCTGGAGGGCATGGCGGGGCGGGGCGGGGCGGGGCGGGGGGGGCGGGGCGGGCGGGGCTGCTGCCGCACGCGCGCGTCCGTGGCGTGCGAGGCGTCCCTCCCAGGTCCCCACCCGCAGAGGCCCGGGAAAAACGATCCCGGAGTGACGGCCAGGAATTCGGCTGCAGGAGTGATACTCATTCGGGGCCCGGGGTGGGCAGGGCTGGGCCGGGCCTCCCCGCTTTCCCACACAGGTCCTCGCCAACCGGATTCCGCAGCGGCGGGCCAGGACCACTCTCCCGCCGCGCCCCGCCCCGCCCCGTCCCGCCACGCCCCGCCACGCCTGAGATGGCTGATAACGCCGCGATCTGAATTTGGCCACTTACTTTCGGGCCCCACGACGACG